TTCAAATGCATTTATAGAAATTCCAAACCTTTTACCTGCAATAATGCAATTTTTTTGTTGACTCTGCTACTATACGACTTTGTAGGCCAATTTTGTGAACGTAAAAGAGGGATGGATGGGTCGTGCAGCTCAGTTACCAGTCAACCTTTTGACATCTATGCAGCTTGATGGACGTTCTTCATCTGTGCATGTTTTGTATTTTGAGGTAAATTTCTTTGATTCATGAGTCGTCGTTTTTTATTTTTCTTTCATTTCTATCCATTCGAGAAGGTTTCTCTAGATGAGGAATGGAATTGTTATGAATTGTCTGTCCTTCATTGTTCTCGATGGCATCTGTTTTTTTCCTTCTCTTTATGATTTTTTTCTGATTTACGGACATAATATTTTTTAGATCGCATGTAGGTACGAACGGTTGTTGGCTGCTCGTCCGCAACCTGTAATACCCCAAGTTGCTGCTGCATTCCTTGATGAAAGGTAAAATTTACAATATTTTTGTTAAGTAGACTCATCAGACTTAGCAAAAGACGTTTAGTGTTTTCTCTATTTTTTCTGGCTCTAATTCTGCTATGAAAGGAAATGATTTGAATGCTTTACAGGGGTATCGCATTCCGTGTTGCTCGCGTACGTACACGCATCGTCTATCTATTCTGTCGGTTCGTCAAAGCACACAAAACCGTGCTAAGCCCTCTAGTGTCCGAAGTAAGTACTGATAACTTGATGATTTTGCTTTTTCTAAAGGTTTTGCCGCCCGAAGGCTTTTTGAGCAATATATGTCATCTTTGTCCAGGTCATCACGCGTCTAGCTCCTTTGCTAGCTATGTCGCCGCAATCCGACCAAATGTTGACGGCAGATGATCAAGCCTTCATATTTGAGGCTACCGGCACATTGATCGTATTTGGTGAACTGGGAGTAGAGCAAAAGGTGAGCGAGAACCTCTTGTTCATTTTATTGGTGAAAAATGTTTTTAAGGCGTTGTACATTGGAGAACTGGCCAGCAAGCTTGGAGAGCGGTTTTTGACTGCTGTTACAGAACTGGAAGCAGCGAAAACGGCCAATGATGCAGCGAAAATACAGATAATCCAGCAGTACATGACTAATATTGTGGGATACTGCAGGTGAGAAAATTCGGTACAGCTTTTTGTTTCTTACGTAATAATTTAACAAGTTCAGATCGTTTTCCTCATGTTAGAAATGCTTTTAGCTGCATTTTTTTT